CTGCCATATGGTGGAATTCTGCTTATGGCGGACAAAAATTCTACCAATCCAGTATTCTTGTGGAGACTCCCGGATTCTTGTTATTCACATATTTACCATGTCTAGTCAGTTTCCAATGCAGGCTTTTGGATGGTTTGAATTGTAAAGCAAATATGCCAATTAACCAAAGAGCACATTTTAATTTGAAATTCCTCTGTCACAATTGTCACAATTGCATATTATAATAGTTATGCATATAGAAAAAAAGCAATTTCACTGTGAAGTCAACAGCTAGTATGGTGGTTTAACAGTAAAGCTATTTCACCCTGCCTCAAATATAATGCGAGTATGTCAATTAAACAAAGAGCATGCACCTTTTAAATTTGAAATTCCTCGGTTGCAATTGTTACAACTACATAATAGTTATGCATATGAAAAGCAATTTCTCTGTGAAGTCAACAGTATGGTGGTTTTACAGTAAAGCTATTTCAGCCTGCCTCATCTATAATGCGAGTATGTCAATTAACCAAAGAGCACGCACCTTTTTAATTCGAAATTCCTCCGTTGCAATTGTTAGAATTGCATAATAGTTATGCACACAAGTCAACAGTATGGTGGTTTAATAGTAAAGCTATTTCACCCTGACTTTTATATAATGCGAGTATGTGAATTAAACAAAGAGCATGCACCTTTTAAATTTGAAATTCCTCCATCGCAATTGTTACAATTGCATAATAGTCATGCATAGGAAAAGCAATTTCACTGTGAAGTCAACAGCTAGTATGGTGGTTTGACAGTATAGCTATTTCACCCTGCCTCAAATATAATGCGAGTATGTCAATTAAACAAAGAGCATGCACCTTTTAAATTTGAAATTCCTCGGTTGCAATTGTTACAATTGCATGACAGTTATGCATAGAAAAAGCAATTTCTCCATGAAGTCAACAGCTAGTATATGGTTTGACAGTATAGCTATTTCACCCTACCTCATCTATATGTCAATTAACCAAAGAGCACATTTTAATTGAAATTCCTCCGTTCCAATTGTTACAATTGCGTAATAGTTATGCATAGAAAAAGCAATTTCTCCATGAAGTCAACAGCTAGTATATGGTTTGACAGTAAAGCTATTTCACCCTACCTCATCTATATGTCAATTAACCAAAGAACACATTTTAATTGAAATTCCTCCGTTCCAATTGTTACAATTGCGTAATAGTTATGCATATGAAAAGCAATTTCTCTGTGAAGTCAACAGTTTGGTGGTTTGACAGTAAAGCTATTTCAGCGAGTATAATGCGATTATGTCAATTTTAAATTGAAATTCCTCCATTGCAATTGTTACAACTACATAATAGTTATGCACACAAAAAAGCAATTTCTCTGTGAAGTCAACAGTATGGTGGTTTAACAGTAAAGCTATTTCAGCCTGCCCCATCTATAATGCGAGTATGTCAATTAACCAAAGAGCAAATTTGAAATTCCTTTGTTGCAATTGTTGCTTTGGGTGGCGGACAGGGAGTGGCGCCCCTGCCCATTGAGGAGCTGCAGATCACAACATATATACCACAACATATATATTTACATATACATTTACATTATACATTTGCGACCACCCCTATCAAAAACCCCTACCCCCACCGTGCTGGAGCCCTCAAACTAGTGAAGTTAGCGCGAAAAGGGAAGAAGAAGATTGTTACAATTGCATAATAGTTATGCACACAAAAAAGCAATTTCACTGTGAAGTCAACAGCTAGTATGGTGGTTTAACAGTAAAGCTATTTCACCCTGCCTCAAATATAATGCGAGTATGTCAATTAACCAAAGAGCATGCACCTTTTAAATTTGAAATTACTCTGACGCAATTGTTACAACTACATAATAGTTATGCACACAAAAAAGCAATTTCACTGTGAAGTCAGTAAAGCTATTTCAGCCTGCCCCATCTATAATGTGAGTATGTCAATTAACCAAAGAGCACATTTTAATTCAAAAATCCTTTATTGCAATTGTTACAATTGCATAATAGTTAATTTCACTGTGAAGTCAACAGTGTGCTGGTTTGAAAGTAATACTGTAAAGCTATTTCAGCCTGCCCCATCTATAATGCATGGGCTCATCTGGCATGAATGGTGTGATGTATTGTGCGAAGCGGTTCACCTGTTGAAACGAAGCATGTCTGATATCAATGGTTGGGAGGAATTCATCAGGCCGCGCTAAGCTCACACCTGACTGAATTTATAGATGATTGCCTACATGTAGAAGGGGGATCGTCTGGAATTTGATAGCCTGTATCTCATTACATTACACTGTACATGTAGTTATACCTTGAATTTATTTTGAAAGACAAATTCTTGAAAGAATTCTTAGATTCACATTCCTACCTGGCACATGTTAGATCAGCATCAGGCAGCACCTGCTTAGCAATCAACTGTAAAAAATCACCTCCCACTCACCATACAACCGAGACATAAACTTACAATGTATGTCTGCTATCTTCAGAATTTGAATAAGGGACTAAGCTCACACCTGACTGGATTCATAGGTGATTGCCTGCAGAAGGGAGATCGTCCAGAATTTGATAGCTTGTATCTCATGTTTATTTATTTATTCGTGACCCCAAAAAGCAAACCTTACAACTCCCTGAATTGCAAAAAGTTTGTGTACACAATTACACCAGATGAGACAGGCAAAATATAATGTTACATCCCTTATATAATGTTACATTATAATACATTATTTTCATACCAAGCAGTAATCTTGTAATGAATCCTCATAGTGACCGCCTTTTTTGTGTCAACCGTCACATCAACTAGTAAATACAGCAACACAATATGTACATACTGACAGATACAATAATTATGTAGGTCTTACTGTAGGTGAATTTTTACTGTAAAGATTGGCGCAGTTCAGCTGTGGCTGCAAGGCTGATCTATTGTCACCATGTTAACAATGAACATCACTGCTACTTCTTGAATATAAAACAAGATTGAAGAACAATTGCCGAGACACAAAATAAATTTGGACTCACCCAACTTTTCGACTGTACAACTTGTCTTGTCAAGGAATGAGTAATCCACCGCTTCTGTGACATCACGCAGATACCACACGTGACTCCGTGAGCAGTCACATCATAGGTTGCAGAAAGTCTGTGGTGCCCCCCACCCCCCACACTTTTTGAATAACCTGACTGCATTTTTTTCTCTTGTCCAGGTCTTCAGGTAGTATTGAAGTCCATCATCCGTGCCATGGCCCCCCTGGTTAAGACACCAAATTATTTGAAAATATTGTGTAAAAAAAATGTCAGCAGGACAAGGGTTAAATTAATCAACATTTCATGCATAACATAGTCAAGTTACACCAGCTATTATGTACCTGGTGTAACTGGTATAATAATAGCTGGTTTGTTATGCTGAAGGGCAGTTATACCGGCTATACAGCTACAGCTACAGAATATAACTATGTGTTGTTTTTTTCTCTTGTCCAGGTCTTCAGGTAGTATTGAAATGAAAAAAAATTCAAGGGTCTATATGACCTGGTTAAAACATCAAATTATCTTAAAATATTGCGTAAAAAATGTCAGCAGGACAAGGGTTAAATTAATCAACATTTCATGCATAATATACTATTAGTTAAGTTACACCAGCTATTATGTACCTGGTGTAACTGGTATAATAATAGCTGGTTTGTTATGCTGAAGGGCGGTTATACCGGCTATGCAGATACAGATACAGAATATAACTACTAGTATGTGTATGTTTTTCTCTTGTCCAGGTCTTCAGGTAGTATTGAATTGAAAAAAATTCAAGGGTCTACAAAATGTATATGACCTGGTTGAGACACCAAATTATTTGAAAATATGTCAGCAAGACCAGGGTTAAATCAATCTACATTTCTAGCATAATATAACTAATAGTATGTGTTTTTTTTTCTCGTCCAGGTCTTCAGGTAGTATTGAAGTCCATCATCTGATTGTAGCTAAAAATGTTACAGATATTGATAGGTTGGTCCATTAAAAACTGAGACTATTTACAGATCCTGATTGCTGAGGCTTATTGTCTGAAAGAGGAAGAAGTCTTTCAGTTCTAAATTCAACTGTACCAGTGTACCCAGACATAAAACAGTGTCATGCTTTGCCCAAGGACAACCAGAAAGGACTCTTAATCAACTGAACATTTTCTTGCATAACAAATTTTTCTCTCTCCTCCAGGTCTTCAGGTAGTATTGAAGTCGATCATCCGTGCCATGGCGCCCCTGCTGCAGATCGCCCTCCTGGTGCTGTTCGCCATCCTCATTTTTGCCATCATAGGCCTCGAGTTCTACACGGGGATCTTTCACCTGGCCTGCCATAACAATGTAACAGGTGAGTCAACAGAGTTAGGATTGAGATATGTTGGTGAAGGTTAGACATCCAGGTAATAAGCCAAAAACAGTTTTGTTTAAAGTAAAGACTTTTGATCTAACCTAGAGAAGTTTTCTCACCTAGAGCTTCCGACCAGACACTCTGGTCTTCCTCGGTAGACTGACCCAGTGAGGCTTGTCACATGGCTTCTTTGAGGTGTGATAGCCAAAAACAGCAACTAAAGCAACTGGATATGATTTTGGAAATCATTTGATTTTGGAAATCATATCCAGTTGTTTGAGTAACTGTCTTTGGCAAGGATTGAGGTTTCACACACAGTTTTTTTTCTTAGACTCAGTCATATTTCCGAAAATACAATGTACAATGTACTTTCATCAGGTTGGTAGAACATTGGGATTTTCTGTATACACAACTAGTAATGTCTCTCCTTGCTTACATGTCGGTGTCTATTAGACGCTTTCCTCAAAGCTTCTGAATGGAATTCTCACTGCTATATGTAGCCAATGTAGGTGGTGCTTTTGCGGAAAGAACACAATCCAAAACGTAACAAAACATAAGCAAGGAGATACATTATTGGTTGAGTAAAAGAAAATCCCCATAACCAGTCACACTGCCACCAAAACTGCCCTTTGACAACTTACAGACTCATCAAGCGGCTATTTTCCTGCTGTGTGATTCCTGCTTAAAGCAGAATTAAGTCCCCACGTAGATAAGCCAATTTACAGTATTAAGATACAGGCTTATAAGATAAGAAGGCTTAGTACATGTCCAACTTGCAGACATGTAGGAACATGTACGGATTACTGTAAATAATTTCATCAGGTTGGAAGATACTTAGGGTATAGAATTTTCTTCATACACAACCAGCAAGGTTCTCACCTGCTTACTCCAGTCAGAAGCTCTGAGGAAGGTGTCTGATAGACATCGAAACGTAAGCAGGTGAGAACCTTACTGGTTGTGTATGAAGAAAATTCTATACCCTATGTAAGGATTACTGTAGGATCACTGGGCATTTCAAAAAGGATTTACTCAACAGGTGTTCACTAGCAGTACTAGATCAAATTTTGAAGAAAATAATCGTAAATTAGTGGAGTAAGCTTTTGTTTGGTTGCTCTGTCCTTGGTGCTGATTTAGAAGTAGCTTTCATTTGCATTCCCCATACAGATCTGTATGCCTGTGCAAAAAATCTTCATGTGAGTCCAATGTATGAACTGAAAGAGATGAACAAAAAGGATTTTTTTAAATGTCTGGTAATATCTTTTACAAATCTGTGTGAGGATACATGCCTAGTGTCTAGACTGTACTTATGTAGAACTCATATATATTATCATGTAAGCCAGGTTCCATAATATTATATCACCTGTGTATGAAATAGTACATGTATAGTGTTAGTTTTGATGCATAGAACTTATAAGCATTACTGTAGATGTTGCTGTAGATAGGGGCTAGATATGTAGTAACTCTGAAAAGCTTGCCATACATTGTCTCTCTCTCTATATATATATATATCCAGTTTAACGTCTTTTCCCCCACAAAACTGGGGGGTTAGACGTGCTTGCATCAAGTGCAAGTCTTTTTTTGAAGCAAGATTTTTTATGTTCTTTTAGATTGTACCTGTAACAATTGTTGTGCAATAAAGTTTGACTTCAACCTTTTTTATCTCTTCCCAGGGGAGCTAGTACAAGAAGAAGTGTGCGGTGCGAATTTTTCGTCGATAACTAGTACGGTGTACATGTGTAAGGAAGGGGAGCTGTGCATCGAGTACTGGGAGGGACCCAACAACGGCATCACCAACTTTGACAACATCGGCTACGCCATGTTAACCGTCTTCCAACTGATCACCATGGAGGGCTGGACACAAGTGCTGTACTGGGTAAGCACGATTGTTTGTTTGTTTGTTTGTTTGTTTAGGATCTCCATTAGTGTGAATTTCACACTATTCTTCCTGGAGTCCGTAGTGAATCATCAGATAGTAGTAGTTGGACCATCGCACACGGGGCATGCCCCTACTTTCTTTCAAAAGGTGTGGTGGGTTCTCCAAGGGCACAAGATTGGTGGCATGGCAGGATTTGAACTCGGGACCTCTTGGTTCTGAGCCGTACACTCTGTCGCTACACTACATGGCCCCATGTTGTTGTTGTTGTCGCTTGTGTCTTCACCCACCAACTGGTGGCTGTACCAACTACAGAGTACCTAATACCAGCTCAGAAAAGAACAAGGAATTAGCCATGCCTTCAATTATTAGACTTATCAACCAAGGATGGAGGTGTTTAAAACGTCATCGTAGAGTGGAACTCGCTGCCACCAAGAACAATACAGGCATCATCACTAGATAGCTTTAAATTAAACAATGTTTAGAGTTAGACGTTTGAAGTTTAGGTGTAACAAGTCACAAAGAGCAAATGGCTAAAGGTAAAACTATAGGTTACCCTACACGTTTTCTTTTTTTTTCCATTGTATTTCTATTCTGGGTCAGGGAAGACTCTAATTCATTTTTCTTTGATAAAATGCACAACAATCATATCTTATCTATGCATGTCTTGACAAAATCAATGCTTATCTAATTGAAAATATTGTAGCCTAATGAGTATGATAATATCCAGATGTTGGTTGTCATGAGCCAGTATGTCACATACATGTATGCAGCTCTGTGTATGGTGCTTGCATGGTTGTGTGGTCTTAGGAAAGGCACAAAAAAGAATGTGTCATGTAGGTTGTTATCATTTTATTACTGAGTCTCTATTAAAGAACCCACCACACTTGGTTATCAAAAGGAGTAGGGGTCCTTTCTGGTGTTAGTGGTTCAAACTTTACAGTCCGGTCTTACACAGCTTGTACTTACATGTACAAATGTACAAAACTGGTGTGGTACGCCTAAAAGAGGTTTACCGTTGATACAAAACGAAACAAAACAAACGTGGTGGGATTTGCTTGAGGTTTGGCTGTCCTCACACTTCCACTTTAAAGTATTGGCAGAGCAATACCATTTACTGATTCAGAATGATATTTGTATTTTACAGTACAGCCAGGGTATATACATTGCCAACAATTTCACTGATGGTTTTGTAGATAAATTCCGAGAGAAATGCATGGCCTGCTTGGGGAAGTGAGATAGATAGCATTTGGCATGACACCAGGTTACCAAAGTGGTCCTCCGAGCTGCTGTTTTGTGTGTTGATGTCTGGGTGCTGTGACAGTTGGAGATGTATACAGGGCTCGAAATTACGTCGATGAAGGTTAGACATCCAGGTAATACGATATGCCAAAAAGCAGTTACTCGACAAGCAACTGGATATGATTTTGAAAACGTCAGACGTTTCACCTAGTATCCACTAGCTTTCGTCAGTGACTGACAGACCAGAGGGAAAATGCAGGTTTATAAGCACAAACTATTGATTGCTATGCAAATAAAGTGAAGACAAATTTTTGGAAATCGAAAAGGGAACAAAAGTCAGGGCTCAAAATTCATTTTGGGAATAGGTGCACTGGTGCACCCAACCTAAAAAATTAGGTGCACAAAAAAATTTGGGGTGCACCATATAAAACAAAACATAATTACAGATCTTACTGCTCCTCTTCTGAGCTTGAATCCAAAATGGGAGCTAACGTCAAAATCTTAAACAAGTACTACTAGATTTTATTATTTTTCTGACATTAGATGCCAAGAATATCCTGTAATTATACATTTGATATGTAAAAAATACCTACAAAAATATTTGGGTGCACCAGTGTACCCAGAGAAAAACATGGGTGCACAGCTCCAATTTTGGGTGCGCATGCATGCACCCAGTATTTTGAGCCCTGTGTGCTGATGTCTGGGTGCTATGACAGTTGGAGATGTATAATGTACCGGCACCGATGCATAGAGGGGAAGGATCACACAGTGCATGCATACGTTAGTGATAAAGACCTGGCATTCGGAGTCTAAGGAAAGGTGTAGGCGTTATCTTGCCAAAGGTGTGACGTGAAAAATGTTGTATGGTAAAATGTACATTTAGTCGCAAAGAAGATGTATCTTCTATAGGCTAGGTGAAGATTTTATCAACGTTTTGAACATAGCCTAAGAGTTACCCCCATGCGGAGAATTGATTATGGATGGTATTACTACATGTGTAACTGTGATGGGGTTTAGGTACAAGAATCAAGGGGGTGGTAGGAGGACACACGTGCACACCCCTCTTCCTTTCTCCTTTTTTGGGCTTTTTAGTAAAAATCTCATATGACATCTTTGAGGGTTAGGCATCCAGGTAATAAGATGTGCCAAAAAACAGTTACTCAAGCAAATGGATATGATTTTTGTAAACGGTCAGACGATTCAGGTAGCATCCACTACCTTTCGTCAGTGACACTAGAGAGTTGTCAGAAAAGCAGGTTTATATGCCCATCTTCCCTATGTTCCTACAACTTAATCTATATTCCGACAACCCTAAACACAATCCTCTGTCAGAATGTATAGGGGTGTCAGATCACAGAAGTTTTCGTAACATAGGGGTTTGGGGGACATAGTGGTGTTACAACATACATGTACAATCCCTTTATACGTTGCCATAGTACAAGTTGTATATTACACAAAATATGGTTAACAAATAAAAAAGAATAAGGCCTATAGGATTTCTGTAGGTCACCCTACATGTATGACATACACAATGTAGGGGTGTTACAATCTACATGTACAATCCCTTTATGCATTGCCATAGTACAAGTTGTATATTGCACAAAATATGGTGGACAAATAAGAATATAATAGCCTATAGGATTGCCCCATAGGTCACCCTATGTTTTTACACCTCAATCTATGTTTGGACAACACTAACCTTACTTCAGAACATGTACATAGGGGTGTCACCAAATTTCCCTGATTCTGGGGACTGCCCTCAATGGTCCACATTTACATTTACATTGATCATTATATTGATTTTCTCTGACACTCATGACAAAAACCCCTCCCTTACTGATTAATGATTATAGATAAATGACCGCATCTTTTTCTGACTGTTATGCAATTACAAGTAAAGCAGATTACTAACTATTACTAACATTACATTCAATATTTACAAGCATTAGGCCATGTTGATTTGATTATATGGATGACATCCGCGCGCGCATGAATTTTCGGCCGTTTCCAAAAAAAAAAAAGTTTTCAACCATACTGTAAATCGTACAAAACAGTTGCAAAATGAGAAAAATATACCGTAAGTTGCAAAAAGAATATTAAAAAATGATACCAATGTCGCAAAATGCCAAAATCAAACAAAAAAGACGAAAATGTAAAGAGAAATGAATTTAAAGAGTAGATTATTCACCAAACCATACTCTGTGTCACTTTTTCAACCTTCATGACCACGTAGATTTCATAGTGAAAGCAACTTTTTTTTTTTGCAAAACTTTTTTTTTATTCGCACGCGCGCATCAGTTTTGGGGTTCCCAGAGGATGTCATCCATATAATCAAATCAACATGGCCTTACTAACTATTGTGCTTTTAATCATATGACGTACATGTATTCAATATGTGTGGCAACTGAGTGCTCCTGAACGATTTTTGACCACTAAATGCAAATTGTGGTTCTTATAGATGGCTTTAAGTATCTAACTTGTCTAACACTGGTGGAACTTCTTCTAAAATTTGCATTTTGACTTAGTATATTTATTGAATTGTACATTGACTTTAGTTTCCCATTTATCACTGACAGTGTTTTACAGGGCTCTGTAAGATCAATACAGTTCAGTCCTAATAAGGGCTGCAATTTTGATTGAACAATAAACTTTGAAGTTTATAAAGTTGGAATAGAATACACCTTTTTCCTGAAATGGCCTGTTTGATTCAATTGTTTATTTCCTCTTAGAGACACATGGGTACATGTAGCTCCTAAAGTTCCATGAGCAGACTCATATTTCAAAGCAGGCCCAAAATTCTGTAATACTTTACGTAATTTTTTATTTCAAGCATTCACAGCCCATATAAAAGAAAACATACAAAATTTAAAAATAGAAATACACATAACATTATATGTAATAACAACAGTTAAAAATATGACTATGAGTAAAGGCGCACCCAGATATTGGGGACGAATTTTTTGCGAAAGATTACATCGATGATATTATTTGAGGAGTTGTACAGATGAGATATGAAATAATAGCATTGTCTGTATCAAATGATTGACTATTTTTTTCTTCTCTCCCTCGCAGTGCAATGACTCCCTGGGGAACAGCTTCAACTGGCTGTACTTCATCCCCATCATCATCCTGGGGTCCTTCTTCATGCTCAACCTGGTCCTTGGTGTCCTCAGTGGGTGAGTTTGCAGTCTTTTTTTTTAACTTTTCCGTGTCCGCCATCGCACTTTATTCTATCAAACATGTTGTAATACAGCCATTACCAGTGCAATGTACATGTTTTATCTTCTTTATATGCAATGTACAGTGGTGTACACAAAACAAAAATACAGGAATGTATGGAATACATCATCTCTTATGAGTTCTCTAGTCTTATTAAGTACAAATATGTCATCCCCCACTCCCACCTTTCAAAAGAACAAGAAATAGTCATGCCTTCAAGTACATGTACTAGAGTTATCAACCAAGCCTGATCCATCATCTTTGATGGACAAAAATGGGCCCATAAGGAAATGGAAACTTAAAGATATGTCTTAAACTAAGCTTATGTCTACCCTCAAAATGCAAGTAATAGGGTTTCAGTGGGCCAAGATTTCAACTGGCACGATGCCTAGTGCTTCAAGTGATCAACAGGATATTGCGTCAAACAAAATTATGATGACGGAACTTTAAAATGAGAAATTCAGTACCATGGACAGTACCCATGGCCTTCCCAATACATGACTCTGGCTCTCTGTCAAAAGGATCAACTTTAACTAACCATGCAAAAAGCAACAAGCCCCTTAATGTGAACAGCAACGTCATCACATAAATTGCTGCAACAAATGGTGGAAAATCACAGCATGTTATGACTAAGCATACTTCTCATATTACATCACCCTTACAGTAGTAATCAAATTTAGATGTTCTTCAATGATTTTTCTTTTGCTAAATGTCTTGCAGTGCTACCACAATACAATTACTATAAGTGATCAATAAAGTGAAAGCTGTTTTTGTCTACATGTATGTTAAGTTCCCCCTGGCCAGTCAATACTTGTTACAAATTTGCGTATATATCCACTTAATATATATTTGTGTATATGTTGGTTAGAAAGTCAAGCCAAGAGAAATATCCAATCTAATAAATTGGTGGACGTACCAACTACTAAGTACCTAATACCAGCTCAGAAAAGAACAAGAAATAATGCCTTCAAGTACCAAAGTTATCAACCAAGGATTCGATTGAGGTGTTCAAAAACTCATTCTTTTCTAGAACTATTGCAGAGTGGAATTTGCTATCACCAAGTATAGTAGGGGCATTATCACTAAATAGCTTTAAACAACATTAAGAGTTACATGTAGATGTTCAAGGGTTGGGTGTAACAAGTCGTTCGGTTTAATGTAGCCGGCTGCTGCTACGCCGAGTGCATGCGAAGCTGGTGTGTTACGCCGAAGGGCGGTTATACCGGCTATACAGATACAGAAGCTGGTGTGTAACGCCAAAGGGCGGTTATACCGGCTATACAGATACAGAAGCTGGTGTGTTACGCCGAAGGGCGATTATACCGGCTATACAGATACAGAAGCTGGTGTGTAACGCCAAAGGGCGGTTATACCGGCTATACAGATGCTAGTGTGTTATGCTAAAGGGCGGTTATACCGGCTATACAGATACAGAAGCTGGCGTGTGTTACGCCGAAGGGCGGTTATACAGGCTAATACAGATACAGATACAGAAGCTGGTGTGTTACGCCAAAGGCTATACAGATACAGAAGCTGGTGTGTTACGCTGAAGGGCTTTTATACCAGCTATACACTGTCAGATACAGATACAGAATACACCCATTGTACAGGCCCTGCATAAGTCAAACAGTCCAGACACAATGATTCAGCGAGGAAATGTCTGAATTACTTTTCCGATAGACACTGCAATGTTCTTGTAAAGCCTTGTTTCTGTTTTTGCCGTAATTGCGCCCACTGGAGGTGATTTACACACAGAGTCCTTCATCTAGATTTTGAGTGACATCTTTCCTCATGTAAAAATCAATACCAGAGGCAGTTTGGGAGAACGAAGCGCCCGCTGTGTATGGAGAGGATTAGGTTTGCTCCAATTTTGGGAATCCCTTGATGGTTCCAATATAATACCTCTTCTTGGAACTGTGTAACAAAAATCAGAGCGCACGACAAATTGGCTGGTGCGTAACAAAGACATACTTTGGAAGCCAATCAGTCTCAATCGAATTCAACTGTACAGAGAGGAATTAATGACGAAGAACTTTGGAAAACAACCTTGACTCTTGGATGGAAAACACGTCATGAAAATCTTGCATGTGATGTTGATCTTCAGGAAGTGTTTTTTTCACTGATACCGAAAATCTTGTCAAATTTGCAGTGGTTTTATGTTTTTTGATGACCTCTCCACTGTAAATTCCTCACTCTCTGGGAATATGCATTTCTAGTTATTAGTATATATATATAAATGTACTACAAAATTGTTTCAACTGCAGAGTTTGATTACTGCGAAAACCTTCTTTTGCTTTTTGCTGCCATTAAATTAAGTCCCCGTGAAAATAAATGAGTTCACAGTTAAACAACTGATAGGAAGTCAAGACAAGCAAAAGTTCAGCAAAGGGAGGGCTACAAGTACAAAATTTTTACTACCTTTTATTCAACAACTTGCAGCGTTACATATTATTACATAAATGACTTCACAGTTGAACAACTGATTGAGAAACATGTTCAGAAGTCATAGACAAGCAAAAGATCAGTGAAGGGAGAGTTGCAAGTAACATCTGTATCCATAATGTATCACCATAGTCCATAATATTGCCACCTTGAGAAAAAGTGTACTTAAAGATATTTTTACTGCAACATACCCTACAAAAATGTAGGTATGTACATTTGAGGTGTGCAGGAGTGCATACCAAAAGTGTTGCAGTAAAAATATCTTAAAGCACACTATTTCTCAAAGTGGTGATATCATGGACCCTGGTGATATTATGGACACAGATGTTATATTTTACTGCCTTTTATTCAACAACTTGCAGTGTTATACTTTTGAATGATGGGGCACAAGACCAACCAAGGTCTTCCATCTGCTATTAGCTGCCCCCTTGGGGTTAAAATCTCATTTTTGAAAACACTGCGTGGCATTTCACATGCAACATATTGATCCAGTGGGTATATAAAAGTACAGAAACTTAATGAAGGATCCTCCATTTTGTTAAATTATTTAACGTTCATGCGAAGAATCACCGACGGCATGACAATTTTTAACTTTAAGGCGTTTTCGGGGGAAAAAATGATCAATAGCTCCTTATTTACTTTTCATGTCCAATTACTTAGCTGTCATAATTTTGGCCCAGCTGGATTTGATAGCGTTAGAAAATACAACAGGTGCCAATTTTGGCAATTTTCAAGAAGACTTGCTTCTACACAAGCACGTCGGCAGAACGTACTGCGCCTGCGCAGAAGCCTGTATTTTCGTGTTTTTCGTTGGGTTTTTGGTCAACGTTGCATCAGAATTTTGCCTGTTGCAGAGGATATTCTTTCCGACATGACATTTGGAAACTACTGTCGAAATGCTAACCTTATATGAGCGAATACAACCTTATATGAGACATTCTGCTGAAATGCTATGTACTGTTACATTACGGGTTTCGCGCAGGTGCAGTACGTTCTGCTGACGTGCTTTCTACACATGATTAAAATTCCAAGTGCAGTTGTTTCCTAGGGATAAACTCGTTATATACCGGTTATGTAGCCGCAGGTGAAACAAATGGCAGAATGTTGATAGCAATTCAAATTATGCGTGCTTGTAGATATGGTTGTTTCTGGATATCATTTGTTTTTACACAGCAAACAAATGTATTTTAGACTGGGGGAGGGCTAGTTTTTAGTGTTGATTGTCACTTACGTACTTACAAGTATGGAAATATTCTTTATTCTTTTGGGTGGCTGGTTTGTCTAAGTAAAACATCTACTTCATAACTGTGAGCATGCTATTGAAAAAAACAAACATTGACACAACATTGACTTAGTCTCACGAGAACATAATTATTTGCCATGGATGCTCAGTCATAGATTTTTCTCCCCTTTTAATATTGACAGAAGACAGGAAAATAGCATTACACAATTACAAGTACATGTAGCTGGTGTGTTTAACCGAATGGCGGTACGGTTATACCAGCTATACTGATACGGAATTTCAAAGGCAACGACACTTTTTGTCCCTTTGCTCTGACACCACAACACATCAAACTGCATATCTTTGTACATCCTCTCTTCATCACCGGAAAGCCCTCCTCTGTATCCGTGATCTTGACAAAGTAGAAGACTTTGTTGAGAGCCCCTATTTGCATCCCCGGTAACTAAGACTCAGTGCCTGCTCGGTTGAACTTGACAGTGAATATTGGATGTGGCGTGACGCTGGGCTGAAGAAGAGGCCCTCCGTCCCGCCGCGAGACGTAATGAGTCCGGGGTGGGCCAATTTGGCCACCCTCCACTCATTATGAGCCGACGTGATTGGAGAGAATCTTCAGCCGCAGCGTGACGCCACACACAAACCAGGCTACGATTGATTTTTTTCTCAGATCTCTTCTTTTTTCATGTCTTCTCTTTGCTCTTCTCCCTTTCTTCTCTTTTTTCTTTTTTCGTCTTTTTTCATCTCTTCTCTGCTCATCTTTCTTCTCTTCTCATCTCTTCTCATCTTTTCTCTTCTCATTTCTTCTTGTCTTTTCTCATCTCATCTCTTCTCATCTTGTCTCTTTTCCTCTCATCTCTTCTCTTTATGTATAAAGTATTCTCTTCTCTTTTCTCTTCTCATATCTTCTTTTCTCTTCTCTTTTCATCTCTACTCATCTCTTCTTTATGTATTATATCATCTCTTCTCTTCTTTATAAGTAATATCTTCTCTTTTCTCTTCTCTCTCTTCTCTTGTGGCCTTCTTGTATATTGTAAATGAAGAATTCTTTTTTCTTCAGATGTTTATATGCAACTATAGATAGAGGTCAAATTTGTGTGCACCATTTGAAGTGAGGACAGGGCCAAGGCAAATTGTTGTAGCCCTCTACTCTGAATGATTCTTTTTCTTCAGATGTACACAACTACATATTGTCAGAAGTAAAATTTGTGAGCACTGTTTGAAGTGAGGACAGGGCCAAGGCAAATTTAGTTGTTGTAGATATCCCATAAAACCACA